GACCAACTGGGGAGCTATGGCTGTAGTCCAGGTAAGAGAATTTGGTAGGATGGCCAGCATGCTGGTAGAGAAGTGGTAAGAAGTAGTCAAATTCTGGATATATTTTAATGAATGCACCATAATGATTTTTCAAATGGATTGGCTATGGGCCATGAATGAAGAGAGGGATCAAGGATGACTAGATCTAATGTTTGGGCATTTAGAACTTAGTAAATCTGGTATAGATAAAATACTCTCCCAGAAAATTCCCAGTTGGCCACCAGTATGAAGCTTGTTTTATTTATAACTTCCACGGATCACTGAAGGCAAAATACAGGAGTACATATCTTCCAAACGACTGTGATTCATTAGAACCTGTATTCTTCCTGACTTGAAACACTGAAAACAAGACAGTTATTTCATTACCAGTAACTACAATAGGAAAAGGTAAGAAGAGCTAATTTTCTCAGTGATATTTATATCAAAAGGGAATTGATTTTTTAATACCAGAAAAACAAATTGTTCCCATAGTAATAAATGGCTTTAATAATTCTTGAGTATGTGGAGATATTGGAAACATTTAACATCCATCATTAACAATAAAAACAAAACAAGAAAGTGCTTCAAATAAGAGCCAAAAGGTGGAGAGTCCATAGGAAATTCCCCTGCTCTAGATCTCCCATCTTCAGAGTTTACATCCTACCATTTTGGATCAAATTTCTACATTTTTAAACTACTATTAGTTACATAAAATATTCTGTTGTTTAGTGTACCTAATCTAAAAACCCACCTTGTTATTCTTAATGTTAAGATAAATAAAAGGTGTGTATCTACTAATGATATAAGAACTTTGTTAATAAGAGCAATATAACTTGTTGCATTTGCATGTGTAATAAGTTTTGTTCAAAGCCTACAGCATCCCTTAGGTTCGGAATAATGAATTGTTTTAATAGTCACTCCCCTATTTGGCTCTTGCCTTCTTGCCCTATTTCAAAAGGTTGTGTCCTAGGTCTGTCATTTTATTGTAAACCATATGAAATTCTTTATGGATACAGACACCGTATGAATAACAAATGAATGTAAATCTATGAGCTGACTTTAAAATATATACCTATTTTGTACTCTGTATTCTTTTTCTTAATCTCCATTCAAGCTTTGATCATTGTGCAGAAATATTTGTCAATGATTCTAAAATTTAATTTTGCTCCTGAACCTAATCTAATAGGAATAAACACAAAGGATTTCCTATCCAATCAAATAAAACCACAACTATGCCTATCCACTGCAGGCATTTTCATGTGACTCCCAAGTTAACACTTTTGATTTTAAAATGTGTTGTCTTCCCTATTTACTGTTATGGAAGCTTGAGACAGAAAGTCATTTAAAAGGTAGCTAATCTGGTACAAGATTTTAAATTCTAGGACTCTGCCCTCCAATGGAGGACAAAAATCTGCTGAGGAATAGACCTATGTAAAAATAAACTGGAGTTTATCTGCGAGTTCCTATTTCAAAGAAGGGAAAAAATCATTCTGAAAGTATAGGGGAAAAAAAAAAGTATATACCAGAGATTCACGGTCGTATATAAAAAGGTACTTGTTTAGAAACTGTAGCAATATTTGATGGACTATATTAATAGATGATAAGAAGATTTTCAATGAACACATGCTCCAAATCTTCAGACTACTGTCAACAGATGAAATAAAAGAAACTTTTCATACAAGTTGAAGAGGTCTTTCTTTGCTAGCTGTGGACTAGGCTGTCAGGTAAATTCTAATATAGTACCCTGCAAAGTGAACTCAAGCAGAGAATAAAAGCAAGCACGTGTACACACATGCACACACGTGAGCATGCTATACCAATGTGCCTCTATGGCCTAGATTTCAAGGGGGGGAAAAAACAGACATTTATTAAGATGTTGCTACAGTCTAAAAATAGCAGAGTCGTCTCTGAACTATCCATGTTTCACCAGCTGGCACATATGAGGGAGTGCTCCCGTACACATTAATGCATTATCCTTATCCCTGTAATTGATACCTAACACTTCTCAACCCATCATTTGCAGTCCTGAATGGAAGGACATTTATCTCCACGTAAGATGACCATCACTTTGAAACCCTAAGTGATCTCAAATTTCGTAACAGCTTAAATCGCAATACTGCAGAGAAAAATAATATATGGTGCTATGGATTCATTCCCTGGCTGCCAAACGAAGATGTGATCTCACATACCTGAGCAGACTGCAGACTTCCTGTTTAGTGAGTTCTGATACTATTTCCAAGTACCAGAGGGAAGAGGAGAAGGATCACTAGGCCCAGATTTTACTAGCTGACTAGGCCTTTTTCCTGGAGTGGGAAGGAGGCTTTGACGCCATCCAGAGATCCTGTAGGGCAAGCACAGGAAGAGATATCTTTATTTCCCCTCTAATGATGTTTTAGAACTTTGGGGTGACTCATCATGGCCCTCAGAGCCTTTTTTGTAATGAAAAGCATTACAGGAGGCATTCTTTCTTACATTACTATAAATTCCTTCCCGCCCCCCATGAAAGGGTATTTCAAGACAACTGTGTCATGGCAGAATCCTGATCTGTACTAGGAGTTGGATAGGCCTTCAAGATTCTCATCACCTTAAGAACCTCCACTAGATACAGTGAAATCAGGTCCCAGGGGTTTCAGATTTATTTAAAGGGAAAATAACACCAGACAAAACACAGACTAAGGTAATAATATTATTATTATTATTATGAGATATTATGAATTCTTATGAATAACTATATTATTATTATTATGAATAACTATAAGGCAATAAAGTCAACAAAATAGGTAACATGAATACATTCTTATAAAATACAAAATTCTAAAACTGTTACAGTAAGAAACAGAATACTTAAACAGACCAAAAACCATGACAAAAATAGAAAGTGAAATAATCAGAATTCCCTAAAAAGTCACTTATGCTGAGTAATTACAAACAAGTTTCTCCTTCTATGTATATGGACATAAAGAATAAAGGCTACTTTATAAAGTGCCAAGAGCAAGTTGCAGAAATACATTTATAGCACGATGCTATTTCTTAAAAGTATATATACACATATTTACCCATTCTTAGGGAAAAGAACCTGGAAAATTACACACCAAACTGTTAAAAGTGGTTTCCTCTGGGGTACTAGTAAAGAGTAAGAATTAGTTCAGCTTCATGTACTTGATATTGTTTCAATTCTTACAAATACTTATTACTTTTATTTTAAAAAATTCTGGACAAAAACAAAACTTGGTCAAATATATGGTCAAAATTCAAAACACTGAAAATAATCAGAAGAAACTAGCTATTTCCCCAGATACCAACGAAAGCTTCCCGAAAGTGTATTAGAGAATTGGCTGGATTGAGAGTGACAAGTTGTTACAAACTCATGCTTTGATTTGATTTGGGAAACAGAAGAGCACAGCCAGTTCGATTCTGGCCCATCCCTGTGACCTGGAAGTCGCTACAGCACAGGATCTACACGGGCTCAAACCCTAATCCTAATCCTACTGCGTGGGGACTGCCTTCTCAGGTAGAGAGGTGTATTCGGCTTCTTCTATTCCATTCACACCAGCCTCTCTGTTCATTCAGAAACAACTCCCAATGTGCAACATGATCAGGGGGTAAAAAAAAAAAAAAAAAAAGGGGGTGGTGGCGGGGGGATGATGCACTGCATCTCGGCTGGTGTAGTTCCCTCAAATAAAGCAGTGTAATGGAGGGTAAAGACAGAAAGAGCGCGTGAACAGTGCATTTCTCATTGTGCAGCGGACTGCCTCAGATTTTCTAAGCTACGCCTTCTCTTCCTCATACAGAGGAGTAAAGGGGCTAACAAGACAATCCAGTAGTATCTAATGGATGCTGCAGAGACTGGAAATTGAGCAAAAGGCTGTCCACAAACTACACTGTTAAATTTATGTAATTTTATATCTGACAGGAAGGCTACCAGTGTTCACATGGACAGTAAAGGGGACATGGCTCAAGTGAGGGAGCAACAAATGCCCGTCTACTTGTTCTTCCGGAAACAGAATTCGCCTAGCTTTCTGGGCTCCTGACTAAGGTAAGATGCATACATCATCACTGGATAAAAACTAGGTATTGACAGAACTCTTCTTGTTCAAAGATGAAAAGTTAAAAAACAAAACAAATGAGGACAATGTGAGGGTTTATTAAAAAAGAGAGAGAGAGAGAGAGAGAGAGAGAGAGATGACCTATCACTGTAAAGATTCATGTGAGCAGTTTTATCAATTGGAGACAGCTCTGTGACCTGCTGTTAACTTCGGACCCCTCCTCTTCTAGACTGAGTGCTTCCTGAAGAAAAAATGGCCCTCTAGCCTTTGTTTCCCCCATGTACCATTGATATTGAAATCTATCTCTTCATTTACAAGGTTCCTAAACTTTTCCCTGAAGATGTTTTGAACTAAGAGTTTATATCCCCAAAACAGCAGCATCAGCCTCTTTTTCTACCATCTCCAACAAGCTCGTAACTCAGTGATGGGAGATGGGTACTTAGGTCTGGGGATGGGCTAATGTACTCAGGAACTAGAATCTGGGGTAATTATGAGCAGAGGAAATCAGATATTTGCCTTTTTTGCAAATAAAATATTAAAAGCCTTTTGATAGTGTAAGAAAAAACATAACACAGACTCCTCTCATAAATCTGTTACTTCAAATACTTAAGGGAGGACTCATGTGCAGAAAATCCCATGCTAGCTTTTGCCCCAGAATCCTGGAGTGGTTAGCAGTGCAGCCTCTGAACACAGATCACCTGAATGCGAGAACTGACTAGCATTTAGTAACTCTGTGAACTTGGTGAAGTCAGCTCATTAATCAAGCCTCAGTTTTATCAGGAAATGGGTTGCTGTGAAACTCAAATATATGTTAAATGCTTTGCACAGTACCTATTGTATAGACAGTTTTAAATATCTGCTATATTGGCATTCCTGCTCTGATTCCTTACCTTCAATCACACTTCAACTCAACACAGGGCAAATAAAGAAAACACGTGAAACGTGCATTAATTTATTCTTCATTTATACTGGACTAGGCAGATCTGTATGTCTTAATCTTTATCAAATAATATACATAAGTCTATACATATATATAAATATACAGAAGTATTTGTATAAACCTCAATAGTCATGATTTTAAACTTCACATTGTCAGATAAAAAGCAGACTACTGTACTGAGTTAATATCTCATGCCATGTTCAATCTGAAATACAGATATATATTACATAATGCTATTAAAAAAGGGTAATGTAAGTAAGTCAGTGACATTGTAATAAATCTGACTGCTTTATTAGATCAAGGGGGAATGCAATAAGTTCTAATATCACGTAGAGAAACAAGCAATCAAAAGCACATAATTCAGGTCTTAAAAAATGGATTTATCCTAAATTGGTCAACAGCACCGAAAGACAGCAATTCTGCCACATACACTTAAACCACTCCTGTGAGTACCTTCTAACTCACTCATAAGAGCACTTCTAAACAAGACTACTTGTTTAAGCAGATCCCTTTGTACAAAACCAAACTGCTAGCCACTACATACCTCCCACTCAGTAAAAGCTGAATGAGTTAACGTAAGGACATTTTCTAACTCCACACCTATGCTAAATCACTAACACTACTGATACAAAAATCAGGGCAAGAAAAGGTCAAACATGGATGGTGGCGGGCAGACCCATCAGTGGCTGACACATGGAAAAACCAACAGGGAAAGTGATTTCTTGTGTAGGGTATCAGAATAGTTTCTCTGAAAGGGCTGCAAGGCATAAATGAAGATAGTCCTTCTTTATTCCCCTTTCTCCTTTATGCCCCTTGCAGCCACCATACTGGAAATTTGAGCAAAAGGAACATTTTTAACTTATTTACAAGAAGGCATTAAGATAACACAATACTATTTGTGAAAATAATTTACATTGTGGTTAAAATGGAAGATAAACTATAGTTAAACCTTTTCCGTGTTTTGTAACAATCTCACAGAAAATAATGTTTTCTAAAATTACAGTATTTTACACACGCGAAGCTGAATGACAATATTAGATTACATCTTCTGCAACTGTGGTGTCAAAAATCTGATAGCAAATTTGCTGCTCCATTCCACTTGTGACATTATATGACTTGATGAAACATTCCAACCATGGATATGCATCTACAAATGAGAAAAAAAGGTTACTTAATCATTAAAACTAAGCAAATATCTCTGAAATATACACCTAACCATAATGCTTAGCTAGAAAAATTAACATTTAACTTAGCTTGAAAAATAAATACACTTACCAAATTTAATATTATCTACTCTTCCAGATACACACTGGGTTCTTGTTACTGTTCTGTAACAATCCTAATTTGATTTTTTTCCCAACAGAAAACAACAATTAAATGTGGAGTTTTCCAAGTGTTTGATAGCAAAGGTAGCAGCCACCTCATTCCCAACTTTTCTTCCTGCTGCTGACCACCCCAGGGTTTTTTTCTTTTTTCTTTTCCTTTTTTTTCTTGGTTGACTGCAAAAAAACTGAACCTGAGGTTCACATCAGCTCAGGCTTTTATACACCTGTCTAGCTGAAACTCCCATCAGGTACCAGGCACTGTGTCCAGACAATGCTGGCAGCTCTAGATGCTGTTTCCAAGCTTTGGTCATGGCTACAATAAATCTATTTAAAACTTCTAGAAAAGTTTCTTAATGCTTCTTCAAGTTCAACCTTGAAAGACACTTAATACAGTCAATATTGGCAAGAGTCAAGCAAGACAGGCCTCTTCTCCACTGCTGGTGGTACTATAAATACGTAAAATATTCTTGAAAAGCAATCTGGCAGCGTGAATCAAAAGCCTACAAAACGTGTGGGGTTTTTTTGTTTTTGTTTTTTAAATACTTTATGTATTTATTAGAGAGATAGTGAGAGAGGGAACACAGGCATGGGGAGCTGGAGAGGGAAAAGCAGGCTCCCTAATGAACAGGACCCTGATGTGGGGCTCAATCTCAGGATCCCGGGATCATGACCTGAGCTGAAGGCAGGTATGTAACAACTGAGCCACCCAGGCACCCCAAACCTGTGCTTTTTAATCAGAGTTTTATTTCCAGAAATCTATCCAAAAGAATTAAAACCAAAATTAAAGTGATATCAAACAGAAGTATGTAAATTAAACCTTGTTACAGCTGTTTTTTCAGAACTGTTATAAGATGTAAAGACTGATCAGGAGAAAATAAAGTCTGATTAGAAATAATTTTAAAAAGTTAACTGACAGCATCTAAACCTGTGGCTGGCAAAATCTGTTACTGATGAAAAATTGTTAGAAGAGTCAAACCGTCTTACTATGATTGAGGTCTTCAAATTTCAATGTAAACAGAAATAATGGCCACAAAAAGAAGCCAGTGTCAGTAACTGTAATTGATATGATTTGACCTGAAGATCTGGTTGATGGACAAATATCATCCAGAGAACTAAAGTTGATAAAAGAACAATTAGTAAAATAAAATGCATAAAATCTGAAACTGGTTAATACTGAACAGAAATTCATGAATGAATTAAACTGGCTAAATGAAGTCTGTTATAGAAAATGAGAAAATTTCATCTCTGTTGGTATAACTTCAAAAAAAATATGTCTGCATAAACACAGTATCAAATGTGCTTGTGATCAAAATGGCCTCCCTCCTTTTTTATTATTTCAAAAAATTAAAAAATTTTTTCATTTCAGAAACTATGATTCTTTTTTTTTTTTTTAAGATTTTATTTATTTATTTGACAGACAGAGATCATAAGTAGGCAGAGAGGCAGGCAGAGAGAGAGGAGGAAGCAGGCTCCCGGCTGAGCAGAGACCCCGATGTGGGGCTCGATCCCAGGGCCCTGAGATCATGACCTGAGCTGAAGGCAGAGGACGAACTATGATTCTTAACTCTTCTCCATGCCACTGTTTTCATTAAAAAGCATATCAAACAATAATTTACTTAGAATCAGACTTCAAAGTTTTCATCCTCTAAGTCTACAGATTAGACACATGTTAAATACTGTTTCAAGAAAAAGAATGATGAGATTGTTAAAAATATTATTGCCTACCAATTTTTATTCCTGAAGGACAAAACATATCCATGATCATATCCATACTCTGCTGAAGGTCATCATTGATTAGGATTTCTGATGCCGGGATCTGGAAGAATTTGTCCTTAAAAAAAGAAAAAAAATTATAGAAGGAAAAAAGGAAATTAATGTTTCTTTTTTTAAGATTTTATTTATTTATTTGACAGAGAGCAAGAGCATGCAACTACTGGGGGCAGGGGAGAGGGAAGGGGAGAAGTGGACTTACCACTGAGCGGGGAACCCAAGTGGCTCGATCCCAGAACCCTGGGATCATGATTTGAATCAAAGGCAGATGTTCAACTGACTAAGCCACTGAGGCGCCCTGGAAGTTAATCTTTTTTTGAAGTCATAATTAACATGAAAGTATTTCAATATATTCTAATGAAAATGATCTAGACTATTTTACTCTATAAAGATTGTAGAAGTCACAGAATTCTAGTCTGATCTCTTAAAATCTGAGTTACTACTTTAAAAACAGCATTAAGATATACATATAAAAAATCCAATTACTTTGAATCAATGATAATAAGAATAATGGTATTTAGAAAAACGTGAGGTCTCTCATTCTCTTTGTATATAGGAAAAAATGTGGTCTTAAGTTTAAAAGAGTATAACATATGTTGTATATTTATTTAACTTTTCTTTTCTCTAACATATTATACTATACTTTCTTAAAAGAAAGAAGGGATTTTGTTTGCTTTGTTCACTGCTATAACCCCATCATATACAACAGTACCTAGGCACAGAGCAGGTGCTCATTAAATATTTATTCAATAAATGCACAAATGAATTGTTAAGCAGGAGGGAAAAAAATCTCTCAACTTTACTCCAGATTGTTTCAGAATGTGTGCAGTAAAAAAATTCGGCCTTACCACTAACAGAAATCTAGTCTCTGCCCTTGGAAATAATCTCTAAGCCCTTAAAATATGCCTGTTAGGAATGTCCTTGTATGTCACACTAGAGATTTAGGGTGGGGAGGTTGGGGCATATGATATTAGCTTGATCTTCAGAGGGGCTGAAAACTAAGATCAGCCATATGGGCTGTCAACCATGACTACATGACAGAGCACCAATAAAAACTCTAGACACTAAGGCTCAGTGAGGCTTCCCTAGCTCTCAATACTAACACATGTGTACTGTTATAAATCATTATCGGGTTGGTAACACTGCCTGCTACTCCATGGGAAGAGGACAACCGGACTCTGCCCTATGTACCTCTTCCCTTGGATGCTTTTAATTTGTATCCTTTAGGAATAATAAATCATAATAGCAATAATAACTTACAGGAAGTTAATAGGAATCTTTCCAGTGGATTATCAAAACTTAAGGGTGGTCCTGAGAACCCCCAAACTTGGAAGTGTTGTTAGAAATGAGGGAGGTTTATGGATAGCTCCCTAGTTTCACATAATATAACCACTGACCTTCCAAAGTAATTTAGTTCCATCTAATAGGGAAATGTGGAGACTTCAAAAACCTAGTGAAATGCTGCTAGACAGAAGGTATGGTCAATACCTCTGCCTTTGACTCCTGGAATAAAACTTCTGAAGAGTCTCTCCTCAAATTCCTATTCTTCAATTTTTCATTATATGGATATTAAATTTACAGAGTTAAACCAAAACAGGATAAATATACAGACACTTCAAGATATATGTGCTTGCATTTTATTTTTTTAAGTTGCTTTAAATCCTCTCAGTAATAAAGTGGGAATGAATAACTACATCAAAATTAAAAAATATTTTACTTAGAAATATCTATACTACCTCTGTTACTTACAGAATCCATGAGATAAGCTTCCAATACTCCTGTTCCATCATCAAGAGTAAATGTCATTACAAACACATGTTGAAGGGGTACAATACCCAGTACTAGTAAGGGAAAGAAGATCAAACCATATGAATCTTCTAATCCTTATAATCAAAGTAAAGTGAAAATTGTTTTATGATGTTATGTTAGTTTTGTTTACTAAAATAAACATAAATAACTTATATTTATGCCTTTTGTTCTCCAATAACAATATATTAAACTCATTTAGCAGATTCATTTTAGACATTACACTGTATCTATATAGGGACAATGACCCATAAGCATTGATGAAATATTAATATAAAGTATCTTTAAAATAAGTTGATAATTTGATAGAAAACATAAAAACCGATTTACGAACTATAATTCATTGCATGATAGCCTCATGAAAGACAAAATTAAAATACCAGAATGTTCTAAAAAAACTGCATGCAATTCAATATTTATGGTTTTGTAATATATCTCTCCCCTTTGTATTGTAAACATAGGAATCACTTATTTTTTAAGAGATCATCTGGTAGAATGGATAAAAATGTTAGAAGATGGGATTTCATGATTTGGTAATATGAGGAAGAAGAAATTAAAGAGATACTAAATGATAAGAAAATTCATAGGTTAAAATGGTACTTTGTATTTGGAAATGGAAGACATTTAATATGTTTATAAAATGAAATACTGTCTTCCATTTGTGGAATCCATATGTAAAAGGATTAATTAAGGGGCAAGTAAGAAGAATGAATCAGGGTACAGAGAAATGAATTAGGGCATACAGACATGACTAAAATTATTAATACAGAGGAACCGATTTATAGGATTCTAAAGGTCTCCACAGGTTAAAACTGAGCTAAAACCAAGAAGAATGAACATAAAATCTACCCTCAAGGACCACACAAAGACTTGCATTAAGAATGGGATGAGGAGACCATGCTGGAAAGCAGGGAGCCTGGAATTTCACTGGACCACAAACAAAATATGAGATAGCAGTATCATATAGCTAGATTACTAAGGAAAAAACAAAACAAAACAAAACCAAACCAAGTATATAAATAAATATCAATACAATAAAATTTTCAGGCTAGTAGAAGCAAAGTATCCAATTTTAGAAAAATAAAGGTTTTCTTTATATTTTGCATTGGCCAACATTTGTAGCGCTATTTGCAGCTTTTAATGCCAAACTTAAGAACATTGGTAAAGTGAAACGTTTACTAAGGAGGAGAAACAAAATAATAGGGAATGTGGGAAAATACCAAGTGAAGTGAGGGTGCCTAACTGGAGAAATAAAGAGTCAGTGAAGGTTTGATAGGTATCTTCAAATGCACAAAGCCTGCTGATCTTATAGAAGGCATGTACACGAAGTCCAGTGGACAGATGTGTTCTGTGCTAAAATTATAAGTAGGTGGTTTTGCTTTACTAAGAACTACTTAAAAATTAAGAGGTATGATGTCTTGCAATGTAATGAGTCCCCTGTCACTGAAAGAGTTTTAAGCCAAGCTGGGTGAAAAAGTTTCTTGCTCCAGATAAAGATGTGTATTGGGTAAAGAGCTGTAAGAGCCATCTCTAAATCTGTTTTTAATCCAAAAATACTGTGAACTGGAGGGATTTTTCAGAATCTGTATTTGTGATTAATAATTAATACTATAACAAATTACTGAACATTAAATACAGTAATGATTAAAGATATTGGCAGAAGCCTGGAAGCAAGTTTTCATATATCTTAAACTTCACTTTATAGTCTTATTATAATCACCGTGAAAGGTTTTGCTTAAGTACAGTTAAACTTTAACTCAGTCTTTGCTCTGGTTTTACCTGATCGACAACTGAAATAGAATCAGTGAGGTTACCTTATATGAAGACAGTTACAGTTGCAGGACACAGAAATTTGCTAACCTTCTGCCACAGAAGAAGGAATCCATGGTGTTTTATCAACCAGGGAATTTAGATTTTGTATTGGTCTCAAAGTAGAACATTGTTTACATCTGAAATTAATGACAGAAAAAAAAACCCATAGGCTTTTAAAAATAATTATTATAACTCATTTAATTATAACTTATCTTCGCTGTTCTAACATGCACAGTTTAAAGTTAATTATTAAACAACAGTGTTGCACCTTTCATAGTGTAATGCACATATTACAAGCAGAATTGTAAAAAAATAAGCTTTTCACAATAGAAGCAATCAAAAAGATGGTATGGTTCAGAATAAGTAACTAAGTTGAGAATAAGAGAGAGTCCAGATTCAGATTGTTAATTTGGCTGATTTTGTTGGCAAAACGAAAAAGTTGAAACGGACAATCTCTCAGGACTCTCATTCGATGGCTCTGTGATAACAGCTAGGGTCTTAAGTAAATATAACCAATAGGAGAAAATTATTCTAAGGAAGTCAGTACTAATAAGACTTTGGATAATATATTCAGTGAATGCATATTCAGAGGTTCAAAGTTTATAATGCCTAATACTATACTTATCTTTTGTAATAGAAATTAATCTGAAACTATATAATATAATAATAATGCACATTATTTAGTATAGGTATTTTGCTTTACTTATATACAAATAAGTACAAGTAATTACTTTTTACTATATCATCATAAGATTAGGAGATATTGATAAGAAAATATACTTGAATACAAATATAAAAATCAATGTCCAAAAGGTTCATGCAGACTCCTTTTCATTTCTAATCTGGAGAAGAACAGAGGGTCCCTATATTAAATATTCTTCTCCTCCACCCATCAAATATATAAATATTTCTTCTTTAACAGAGAAAGGCAATAGAATGAAAACATATTATTTCCTCAAAAATAGGCTGTGATTGGGGCTCCTGGGTGGCTCAGTGGGTTAAGGCCTCTGCCTTCGGCTCAGGTCATGATCCTGGGGTCCTGGGATCGAGTCCCGCATCGGGCTCTCTGCTCGGCGGGGAGCCTGCTTCCTCCTCTCTCTCTCTCTCTGCCTCCTCTCTGCCTACTTGTGGTCTCTGTCTGTCAAATAAATAAATAAAACCTTAAAAAAAAAATAGGCTGTGATATTAAGTCTAGACATTGATAAAGCAAGCATGCAAGCTAAAAATTAAGTGTATAAATTAAAATGTAAGGGAAACAAGTAAATATTAAGTACAGAATTCATTACTTTGAAAGCAGTAAAAGCAGAAAAAGGGGAAAATCAAGAATATTTTTATAAACGAATCCAATAGAAGACTACAGGGTAAATAAAAAATCTGAAAAAAAAAAGAAAAAAACTAACAACAGAAGACTAGAGGGAAAAAATAAGCTTAATAATAAAAAAAAGGAGAAAGAGTATAGTGTAAGTGGAGAACAACATAAAATGTAGAAATAAAACCCAAATATATCAGTAATTAACATATTTAAAATTCATCTATTAAAAAACTAAAATCTAGTCTTATTTATTTATGAGACTTTCTAAAATGTAACAACAAAGAAACATGAAAGCAAACCAGCAAAAGAGCCTCAAAGTATACAAAGCAAATACTGACAGAATAAAAGATCACAAATGTTCCACTACAGAGGACATTAAGCACACTCTTGAAGAAGTGATTAAACAGACAAAGTTACAAAGGAAAAAGAAGTTTCGAATATGATTAACAAGCTTGACTAATGGGTGTAACTAAACACTATTAAACATTAAACACAACTATTAAAGAACATATCTTCTTTTTTAAATATAGGCAATATATACAAAATGTAAACATATTCTGGGATAAAGCAAAGCTAAATGAATCTCAAAGAATCATTATGAAATACAGCAACCTATTTGATTAAAAAGTAATCTAACTAAAATGCAAAAAAAATAGTACCTAAAATGCATGTGTGAAAACTTTAAAACACACAGCTAAATAATTCATGGGCCTAAGAAAAATCATAATGAGAATTAGGAAACATTTAGAAGAGACAAAAAAAAAAAAGAACACCACTACATATCAAATCTTGGTTTCAAGGGGCACCTGGGTGGCTCAGTGGGTTAAAGCCTCTGCCTCCGGCTCAGGTCATGATCCCAGGGTCCTGGGACCGAGTCCTGCATCTGGCTCTCTGCTCAGCGGGGAGCCTGCTTCCCTCTCTCTCTCTCTGCCTGCCTCTCTGCCTACTTGTGATCTCTGTCTGTCCAATAAATAAATAAAATCTTAAAAAAAAAAAAAGATCTTGGTTTCAAGCTATGGCCATTTTCTTGGGGGAAATAGGGGCTTAAATGTAAATATTTAAAAAATACTAAAAATTAATGATTGAGATAAGCATTCAATTAAAAACAGTTGAAAAAGAAAAAACAAAGAAACTTAAAGTAAATGCTGTAAATAAATATAAAAAAAGAAAAAGCCAAGGAAACCCAAAAAAGTAAATGCAAAAAATAAAGATACGAAAAATAATATAAAAATAGAGCATGTCAGAACAAATCTAGTTACTTTGGCAAAAAACGTAAAAAAAAAAAAAAGGTGCAAATAATATTTAGTGGATTCAGGAACAAAGTGGAGATTTAAAAATCATCAAAAGTACTATAAACAATTTTATGTCACTAAATTTAAATTTACGTAAGAGATGAAGACTTTTCTAAAAAACAGTTTCTAAAAAACAGTTTATTCGAGAAATAAAAAACCATAGCAGATGGATAACTGTTAAAGAAACTGAAGCATTAGTTTAAAATTGTTTAAAAAGAATCAGGTCCAGAAATCTGAGTAAAGTAACTAAAGCCTAAGTAAGGAAATCCTTTAAGGTTTCACAAGCATTGTGAGAAATATAATCATATTAATATTTTAAAAATTTATAAAACAAAAGAAACCATGAAGTTAAAGAGGTTCAAGGGAGACTACAAATTTCTTGAAACACATGCCTTTTTCTAGCTCCTAATACATTCTGATTATCTTCCACCTCCTCAGTGGTAACTAAACTGTAACTTCCTGGCACAGAAATTTTGGAATTCAATCACTTAACTTTTATGAGGATATAGTTATGAACCTTTCTCTGTACCATTATCTAAATCTTTGTGAAAGAAAACAAATGAGTGTTAGCCTTTGGGGTAGTTTTATACTTAGTGCATTGGAGGTCATTGATGCATATGCTATCAAAAGAATAAATATATACCAGAAAAATCTAGTACATATAAATTATACAGATATATATGTATATATATATTCAAGGTATCCATTGAATATATATATATATATAGCAACTACTAGGATAAAATAATAAAAATTATTGCTATGCAGTCTTCTCAAAACTCCCAGATTTGAAAGCATACCCGTAGTGATGTACTTTTCCTTGTATAAGGAATGGTGCTGAAAGATTAAGGACTTCCAAGTCTTCCTGGCCAGATCTCACAGGAATCACACTATGAAACTTGTTTGCGAGTTTGTAGATTTCACCGAGTGTACCTCCTATTAACAAAGAATAAATAAATCCTTCTGGGCAAAATTGAGTGTCTATTAAGTAACACATAAGGTACAGTAAAAAAGACTAAGGGGACTGAAAGAAAAAGACAATGAAGACATGAATTTAGATGATTAATACATTTATACATTTATTGTAAAATACAATAATTTGTAAACTTAGTATCCTGCCCTGATTTAAGAAACCGCTGCACAAAAATGCTGAGACTTGAGCAAAATACAAGGCTTGTGAAATTTTAACCATTTTCCTAAATTTTTATACAAATTGCTCTTTTATGCCTGAACACTTTGGTTAAGTATTCAAAAGAAAATAAAACTGAGAGCCAAAGTATAACAGGGTTCTCATTAAATTTGCTATATACTAATAATGTCTAGGTTAATTTAGTCTTGAGTTTGAAATAAATCTTTCAAACTTTCAGATCAACATTATATTTAAATACAAATGGAAAGAGTTCATGTATAGCGTTTGTTGCTTTTTCCTGAAAAATCCTATTTCCAATTCTATGACAAAGTGGCCATTAAAGCCATCATGTTGGCTGGAAGGAAAGAGGACCCAATGGGTGCTACTACCAGACGGCAATATTCTCGCTAATCAAACCTACTGGTACCTTTTCCGGTGTATTTTTCACTTAAATGATAATTCTTCCTCTCTAAGGAAAGAGAATATGACTTATACAAATACTTTTTGTGTACTCCTAAGATTTGTAATGTTAAATTCAATTGTAAGGGGGAAGCACTTCCAGCACAGCAGAGTAAGAACGTCAAAAATACACTTCTCCATAAAAGGAAAAAGAACATTGGCCAAACTTGTCAAATTTTACTTTTTCGGAACTCTAGAAATTAACCAAAGTCTTGAAACAATCCAAGGAGTATTTATTCAGAAAAAGGAGATAAATATTGGTAAGGACAGCAACTTCCCTTCTTTCCACAACTTACAGTTCTGCCATATCATTCTGCAGTTAGATCCCAGCTCTGATCAGGGTTATAATACTCAGAAATATGATCAAAATAGCTTGCATTTTGATAAAACACTTTTAAATTTTAAAGTGGTTTCAGATATATTTTCATTTGACTTTCATTAAGAAGCTCTGTAATACCTTACAGAGTAAGGTAAGGTAAGGTAAGTAAGGTAATTACTCTGAATATACTTATTCACTCATTATATATTTACTGAGAACCAGTTGCATGCCTATCCTCCTACCCTATGTGCTGAAGATACAGATTAAAATAAACGTGCATTCTGCACTTTAGGGCATTACATTCTATTAAGCAAACAAGTCTATAAACAGACAGATAAAATGCAAATATAATACAAGAAGAAAAGTGATGAACTGAGAGTTCATATGCTATGCAGTAAGAACCACTCAAATTTGCCTGGTGAATCAGAAGACTGCTTGGTACGTGTAGATGCTCATTAAATATTTCAAATGAATTGCTGAGGAAAGGGAATTATTGAGTTACTTATGAAGACGTGTTAGAGCAAAATTTTCAGAATAGCAATGGAATGGCAAAGAGGCACAGAGAAATATCCTGGGTTTAGGAATTGTCATCAGTTCTATATGGCTGGAAGGTGGAATGAGAACTGAGAAATCATAGGAGATGAGACTCAAGGTTTGTGGGATGAGTAGTAATTAAATACAGGATCAGGAGCTAAAGGTCCCTCTTCAAGCTTCTTTTGGACTCTCAAGTTTAACTTGGCTTCAGCACAGAATTGTAGGAGGCCATATAACCTATAAGAACTCTATGGTATATCTGATATCTTCTTAGTCCTACAAGTACAGTTCTTATAGAATCTGGTAGGTCCAGAGCTTTATTTTTAGGGCACACAAATAGTCTTATTCCATTTCTTGTATTTGCAGGTGTCTGTGTCTTTTGTTTTTGTATCTACTTCCTGGTAGAGATTAAAATATTGCTAATGGAATAAGATACCATATTTCACTCATCAAGGTGGACAAATTTTTTTAAGTGCTAGTGTATGATGATGAGGATGGGGGAAAAGATAATCTCATATGCTACTAAAGCATAGGAATAGTATGACAGCTTTATTGGAAAGTAACTGGGCAACATCTACTTAATTCCTTGTGCCCCTCTAATTATACTTCATCCAGAGGGAAGATAAACTTCACTGTAGAGTTACTGTGTCAAAGAAATAGAAACCAGTTCAGTTCCACTTACTACCTGTACTGGGGAAAGACCTACAATTTCCCTATGCTTCAGCTTTCTCATGTATAAAAAACAGCTTACAATAGTACCAACTGAATAGGATTATTGTGATGATTAAATATACATAAATTAAATAAATATATAAATATATAGAAATGAAAATAATTTCTGGTACACCATAAATGTGTTAAAATAAAAGATGTTCATGAAAATAATACCAATGGTAATATTCATCTGAATTCATATATACAGACTTAAACAATTACATATTACTTTTATAAATAGAAAAATGTCAGTAACAGAAATGATCATAATCGACTGTAATAAAGGTCAGTTCATTTATAAAATTGAACTAAAGATTTCTCTGCAAATTAAAGATGATGTTCTCCTTTTATTATGGAATGTTCTCAAGGAATAAAAGTCTCAAGGAAAATGAAGTTTTAAATTTGGCATAGAAAAAAATATTTGGTATATATATGAGATAAACATCAGATTAAAATTAGACAAAAGTGGAAAGGAAATGCAAAAATAAGAGTTTCATTCTTTTAAAACATATGTTTTAAAACAAGTTATTTTTACTTGTTTCAAGGGCCCCTTCCTTGACTTGTGTATCAATAGATGACTTTAGTCATTCTACTTTAATGGAACAACAGTGACATCCAGAGGCAAAAACAGCAGCAACTGTATATAACAAGCAGCCTCTTTATACTCAGCTCCACAATGAGCTTGAATCTGATTAAGATTATATCCAACATCTAAGATGGACAAATACAAACACCGGAGTTCAATGCGTAACTTCAAAATGTCATTCAGATTAATTTCCATATGTGTGTATGTATATATTTAAATCTACCTATTATATAAAATACATTCCATTTTATGGGATTTAAAATAACATTCTGACTTTATATGTCCTAAGTTGTCCCTAACGTATATTTAACAATCATTAATCACATAAGCAAAAGCTGTATTCTAGTAAAACAGTTACTTAAATACTTTACCTTCTATCAAAATCAGACAGTCATTTGAAAGTGGAAGAATACCATTATGTTTTACAAAATGAACCGCTACTTTTCGTCCCCCTTGATCTGTAGTGGTCCACATTTTCGAATCATATAATGATGTATTTTGTAGTTTGATATCTGGGATTTTACTTGCACCCTCTTGTAAAATTGTATCCAAATCACCCTCATGTGGAACTTCTTGCCTAAAATCATCACAACGAAATAATACAAAACAATTGGTATAAGCTTAGAAATTCAAATTTAACAAACTATCCAATTTAAAAAAATTGTTCATATGCTGATGGGCCAGCTACTTATTTTAAAATACAGAGATAATTCACTTTGCAGATTAAATGACTGACTCTTACTCAACCAAAAAGGTCACTGAGTAGATCCATATCATAATTACATTAACTGCCAGCAATTTCCTTATCTGATTTTGTGATAACAAGGCTCTTACAACTATTTCTAGCACCAATTCATTCTCCTCTTGTAAAGAACATTAAAATTCTCTGTGGGGGATAAAAAGACAGCTGCCCATTAAATATCCATTTACCACCTAAGTAATTCCCCTTTCATAGGGGACCTAATTTTAACTTAGAATAATAATTTCAAAAAGTCATATGGTAAAGTATGTATACAATAGAAATGGCATGATCTGGAATCAAAAGGGTTTTATCCTCATCCTGATTCTGTCCCCAACCAGCTGTGTAACTTTAGGTAACACCTCTTAACCTTTGAGATGGTTTTATTTGTTTAAAAAAATGCTCAGAGAGGATGATTTTGTTTGGCAAAGCTATATGACTTTAGAGAATTTGACAAACTCTAATTTAGTAATACTTCAGCAAGTACCTAAAATCTGTATTTATATTTTAATTCCAACTATCATTTTAAGCTCAAATGGGCAGCAGATGGTCCCCATTTTATTTAAGGTTTGATGATCAAAAATCTCTACAAACATGGGGCATCTGGGTGGCTCAGTAGGTTAAGTGGCTGCCTTTGGCTTGGGTCATGATCCCAGCATGCTGTGGATCAAGTTCCACATCCCCGCCAAGCAAGGAGCCTGCTTCTCCCTCTGCCTCTTCGTGCCTGTGCGTGTGCTCTCTCTCTCTCTGACAAATAAATAAAGTAATTAAAAAAAAAATTTCTACAAACAGTACCATACTCAGATTTTGAAGGGAAAAATATACATACATTAGTATTAGTGTACATACAGATGTGTACATACAAATAACATACACACACAAATATGTGCTTTAAAATGGAAATGTACTTTATTTACACATTATATATTTAGAGGGAAGACAGTCAAACTGTATAAAAAAGAAAAAGCTTAAAAATAATTTCAGATTATGTCTTGAGCTAATAAAATATTCATTCTATTGTCTCATAAATTTATTTATATATAATAAATGATGTTTGGAATAAAGTCTGATGCACTGGGAATTCTCAATGATTAACAAAAATTTAAATTATATTTGCTATATTTAAGATAGAAATATTGCCAACAAGGCTTTCTCTACAACTTACTTAGAGATTTCATCTAAGAGTGCTTGGGTGGCTCAGATGGTTAAGTATCTGCCTTAGCCTCAGGTGGTTAGCACCGTGTCCTGGGATCAAGCCCCAGGTCAGGCTCCCAGCTCAGCAGGGAGTCTACTTCTCCCTCTTCCTCTGACCCTGTGTGCACTCTCTCTGTCTCTCTCTCAAATGAATAAATAAAATCTTAAAAAAAAAAGAATTCTTTTAAAAAGAATTAAAGAACTAAAGAAAAAAAGAATTAAAAAAAAAACCAGAATTCTTTTAAAAACTTTAGTTATTAAAGGTTTAGTTTTTTTTAAAGATATTATTTATTTATTTGACAGAGATCACAAGTAGGCAGAGAGGCAGGCAGAGAGAGATGGGCAGAGGGGGGAATAGGCTCCCTGCTGAGCAGAGAGCCCAATGCGGGGCTTGGTCCCAGGATGCTGGGATCATGACCTGAGCCGGAGGCAGAGGCTTTAAAGGTTTATTTTTAAGAAGTTTTGTGAAAAAAAGAGTCTCCCCAAATATATATATTTTTCTTAAGATTTGAGAGAGAGTGCGCGCCCTCAAAGGAGAGTGAGAGGGAGAAGCAGACTCCCCACTGGGCGGAGCCTGACATGAGACTGGATCCCAAGACCCTGAGATCATGACCTGAGCCGAAGGCAGATGCTTAATTGAATGAGCCACCCAGATGCCCTCCCCAAATATTTTTATAGTTTATTATTTGTTTGCATGTATCAGAACTACTAAATTTCAGATTTCAAAAAAAGCACCTACTTTTATTTACCAATAAAAGAAATATCAGAACGATTTACTAAGATTTTAGTATTTTCTCTTAAAAATGTTACCACTCTTTCAAAATACAATACACAAAGTCATAATCTACTCATTGCCAGGACTTAAACTGATATATTTGAAACCATGTATTCATGAACATTATGAAATAAAAACTTCTGTTTTATTATGGAAAATACTTACAGTGCATGACATTTAGGACAATGAAGTTTAACAGACTGAAAGAGTATTCTGGGCTTATATGACCTTAATTTTGCTCGAATACGATACTGCTGAGGAGCTTTTTGTTTCAAAATAGCACATATTGGGGTTTTCTCCAAATACTGATGATCTGTAAGTACTGAAAAGAATTTTTAGATTAAATTACGATAATCTACAAGAATAAGAATATTCATCGTATGAACTCCCCCAAACCAGACACAGAATTGAATTAAGTTATCTTGTCAGCTTTGTTATTTTGCCACATTTATCATCATCTATCTTTAGTTCTCTCTCCATATATATCTCCTTACAGATTCATATATATGAATCATTTGAGAACAGTTTGCAGATATCATGCTCCTTTTCCCCTAAATATTTCAGTGAGTATTTCACAAAAAATTTCATTGACCTATTACAGTGTAATTTTCAATCTCAGAATCTGTAATATTGATGTAATATTATCATTGAATCAACAGACATTATTCAAATTTCTCCAAATGTGCCTATAATGTTCTTATTTAGATTTTTTTTTTTTTCAGGTCCAGAATCCAATCCTGAACCACGCATTGCATTTGTTTTTCCTGTCTCTTTGGACTCTTTTGATGTAGAACGTTCCCTCAGCTTTCCATTTTTCATGACACTGATAATATTTGGAGTCGAGGCCATTTATTTGGGTGTGTCTGCTTCTGCTCACAATCAGATACAGATCATGCATTTTTGGCAGGATACTATATAATAAGTGCTACAAGTGTCCTTCTCTGTATCATATTAAGAAGCTTATATATATCATATATAATAAATGTAATAATTTATAATTTTATATATAAATTTAAAATATATATTTATTTATATATACAATATAATTTTTATACATAAATTTTAATATTTTTATTATATATTATATATAATAATTTATAATTTTAGTTATATATATAACTAAGTGTATATATATACATATATATATATATTTTAAGAGCCATATATGTTATGAGTGTTTTCACTCCTGGGAATGCTAACTTTGCTCAGTTGGTTACGGTAGTATTCAGCAGGTCTCTCCACTATAAATTTATTATTTCCCCTTTATAATAAGAAAGTACTTGGGGAAATACAAATATCCCACTCCTCAGTAACATTTAGGATCCTGACAGTTTAGGGCCCACTGATGATTTACAGCTAAATCAATTACTACTATCCTGGTTGCAATATGATTTTCTTCCCTAACTTCATCATTCCTTTTACATTTATTTGTCGACACTCTTACTTTAACTAAGAGCTTTCCATTTCATCTCATTTATTTATTCATTCATTTGTTCTTTTGTTTATTACCCACATGGACTAATGGATTCCTACTTTATTCAGTTTTGTTTCATCGTTAGTATTTTTCATTTTGATGCTCAAATTATATCAAATTTGGCATGCTCCATCATTTACTGAGCATGGCACAAGATGTTCCAGACTCATCTTGTAGTTCTCCTGCCCCAGTCCTGGAGTCTGATATTTCTTTAAGCTGTCCTGATTCCTTTTAAGGGGGAATATTATTTATAAGCCAAGATTTGTGTACTAGGTGCATTCACTGTGCCATTATTTCGAAGGGCTGTGCCATTATTTCAAAGCCCTTTAACTGCACAGACATAGGGTATATATACACACACGTGTTCATACCAATACTTGCACACATGCACCTATATATGTATGAATATGTATTTGAATGAATACATATATACAAAGACCTATCTACATCTACTTCTGTATCTATCTATAAAACCATGAGTACATATGGACACTTCCTATTCCAGTAACACCACCACAAACAAGCTTCTTTCTTTGAGCTTCCCCCATTTCATAGTTATATGTTCTTTCTCCAATAATGAGAAACTCATATTTTTATTTTTATAAGTATATTACAGAATTTCACATAATAGACTTCTGCTTAAAAATATTTTTTTCTTCAACTTTTTAACCTTAGCTGAAATAACAGAAAGAGGGCATCTGACAGATTTACTATCACTGCTAACATTAAAGTTTTGGGGTATATTTTAAGGAGCTCCTTTATGGGCACAGAGCTAAATACACAGGGTGAGCAGATAAAAATTATGTCATATAAGATATTTTACATTCTCAAAATAAACCCCACTGCACTGTTAGATTATGTTTTATAAATCTTACAGCTATGTGACTTAAATATATAGTTGATTTTAAAACATTTATCTTTCTGGGTTCCATTTTATGCCTATGAGGGAGGGAAATAAAATATAAATAGGGCTATATTTTTGCCCTCACGGATATCTGCTCTCAAAATTAGAAACAAATTAGTTGGTAACAACAGACTTTATTATGCATAGTATTACACCCACATTTCAGAAATAAAACATGGTCTTACTTGTAGCTGATAGTTGCTGACATCTTTCTACCTCATATAGAGATACTGATCCAGAGCCTACATGAAGAAGGGAAAAAGAGTTATACAGTTTTAAAATCCATTAAAAATCCCATGTGGCATTGAAAACTATAAAACATTGCTGACAGGAACTGAAGAAAATCTAAACAAGAGTAAAATTTGCTATGTTCATGGCCTAGAAGGCTCAAAACTGTTAAGACATCAATTTTCTCCAAATTGAACTATAGATTCAATATATTCCTAATCAAAATTGAGGAGGTTTTGCTGCAGAAAAAGACAAGAGGTTCTATCACTTAAGTGAAAATGTGAAGAACCTAGAATATGAAATACAATCCTGAAAAAGGAACAAAACTGGAAGACTTATACTACCAGACTTCAAGACTTACTATAAAGCTGTAATAATCAAGGAAATATGATACTGGCGTAAAGACTTACAAAAACCTAGCAACAAAATTACAAAGAAAGCCTACATTTCATTTTTGATAAAGGCAGCAAGACAATCCAAAAGGAGAGCAAAACTCTGGTACTGCAACAACTGGAAATTAGTATGAGGGAAAAAAAAATGCTTACTTCACACCATATTATTAAGTATTTCCAGCTGGACAGCCCAGAAATAAATCCATGTTTATATTCACTTGATTTCTGACAGACACACAAGTAATCGTATAGAAATGAAACTAATGGTGCTACAATGACTGGAAATTCGTATTTAAGAAAATGTCTATCTCATACCATACTACTAGGAATTAAAAAGGAACAAACTACTAATACATGCAATATGGATGAATTTTAAAAATATATAGTACGTAAAAAAGAGTACATAATATATTATTCCATTTATTGGAAGTTCTGGAAGAGGCACAATTATCTATGGTGGAAAAAAAAATCAGAATTCATGGGCCTGGAGTGGGGATAAGGATTGACTGGGAAGAAGCACGAGGGAACTTTCTTCAACAAGCGTAATGTTTAGATTTTTAAAGGGATTTAACTTACATGGGCTTATATATTAGCCAAAGCTCATGGAATGGTACACTTAAGGTATCCATTTCACTACATATAATTTTACACCAAAAATTAAAAAAAAAAATTCTCAACAAATATTGAATTCTAGTTAATGATATTTATTCTGAAGTGCTTAGGAGGTACATTTATGACTGCAACTTACTTTGAAATATGTCAAAATATAAGATGGACTAATGGATTAAAAGACAGAGAGAAGTATATGACAGAGCAAAGAAGATCCAGGTAGTAGGTATTTGAGTGCTCACTGTACAACTGTTTCAATTTTTCTGTATGTTTGAAAATTTTTATTATTTTGGAAAAACACATTGTTAATGAAACAAAGGGAAAAGTAGGTAAGATATTAACTAAACTTATTAAATTGAATAGGATGACTTGATGAACACCATAACATAGGATTTTAACAAGAAAGCAGAACTAGTGAACAGAGCAGTAGGTTTTAGTAGTACTTTCATTTTAAAATGAAGAATTTGAGACTAAAAAGGTATCCATATTTTGCAATTACTTTAGCTTATATTCTATTGCATATAATAGTATAGTAAGTTCTAATTTATTTTATGTGACATCATATAAAAATATACGATTTATTCTCCTTCTTCTTCAACATTACTAAGAAATGGCATAAGAATCCATGACAAGAGAACTTGAATGGACAACTCAAGCTGGCAAAGTATAATTTCAATGAATTTGATTCCTTAATATCAGCCATTCTGCATGAGTGAAAACAATGGCAAAAACCTTAAAAGCAGTCAAATAATAAGAAAATCAGTGTAAAATATGTACATGGTCTCCCACAAACTGAGGGGAAAAAAAAGGTTAAAATATCCAACAGAAAATCAGGTAAAGGGTAAGAACAGACAATTCAAAGAAGAGGAAGTAAAAAGGGCTGATAAATATGTAATATTTTCAGGTTTCCAAGCACTCAGGAAACTAAGTAAGATATCACCTTATACCTGCCAAACTGTCAAAATTTATGTATACTGCTAACCTCCAATACCACTGAGAGTATGAGGAAAGGACATTTTCCTAGAGTGTTATTTGCATATGAATCTTATGACATTCTGTCATATAATCTGACAGCATCTATTAAAATAAAAGATGTGCTTACCCTTTGATTTACCAACCTGTCTTTTAGGAGTTTATTTTAGAGAAAGAAAAGCAGGAACGTACAATTGTTCAAGGATGGTTTTCAAAGCATTATTTGTTAAGAGCTAAAAACTGGAAACAACCTGAATGTCTATCAAATGGAAAATAGCTGGATTTACAATGTTAGAATCATATTATGAAATATTGTATACTATTAAAAAAATGAGTTCAAGTAACATGGATTAGCCCATAAAAGGTCTATTATCTACTGATAAAGAAAGCAACAGTAGAGTATGGTCCCATTTTTTAAATTTTAGTAGGCTTTATGCCCAGCATGGAGCCCAATGCAGGGCTTAAACTCACAACCCTGAAATCAAGGCCTGAGCTGAAATCAAGAGTTGGAACGCTTAACCAACTGAGCCACGCAGGTGCTCTAAGTTGACAGATATTTTAAACAGAGGGGGAAAGTCGAGTCCGTCTATGTATAGGTATATATATTTGTATAAACATGAAAGTGTTGAAGAAACCACACTAAACTATTAACATAACCTCAGAAGTAGGCACAAGGGCATGGGGAAGCTTTGTAACTTGATATCATGACATGTATTAACTTTATAATTTAAAAACAATTTAAGAATCTTTGTAAAAGGAGAAAAGACATTTCAAAAAGCATAATTACAAATTATGCTGTCCCCAAATGACTGTCAATTGAAGTAGATTGGCCTGTTAATGGTAGTTTAAGTAATCAGCTAAAATGCCATCACCAAGATGCTAGGAAATGTGGAGAAAATAAATAAGGCAGAGAGAATAAAGAAATAAACTTAAAATATGTACAAAAAAACACTTGAATCTGACTTCGCCATCAGTTAATAGTTTAGTAACCCTGGGCAAATTACATGACCCCCATCACTCAAAGCCTCAGTTTCCTTTCTGTAAAAGGGACAAAAAAATTGCAAACTCAAAGGAGCGCTGTTAAGATTAGGCACTGAGTAAGTGGCTAAACCAAGTAATACATGTTAATTTTAATGCTTATCATTACTGGTATAGAAGAGAAAATACTCATAAAATAGTTAATATCATAATGGAAGGAATTACATTGAAATAAAAAATATGGGATAAAAACATGACATAGATTCTAGGCCCCAGAAAGTACCAGCAGATATGAAAGCAAAATCGTGAAGGAGAAAATCTGTAAAATTTAAATTTGGATTTGAATAGTCACCTCTTCAGGTAGGCAATAATATAAATATAGAACGAAGTATTTGTTTAAGATCCTGTAACCAGGAACTTGATGAATTTGATAAAGACTGGAGATCATGTATATTTCTAAAATATGTATGATCAAAAAATAATCTAGCTCTTTGAAATGAAGCAGCAAAAACAACCACTGTTCATTTTAGAAACTGGCAAGTGGTTGCCTAGGAAATACAGAATTTTAATGAATACATACACAAGTACACATATATACACACAACGTATCATACATACATAAATAACTACGTATATCACAAATTAAGTAATCCCTACCATTCCAATTTGAAAATGCAATTATACAATTAAGACAGAAATAATGTTACCTTTACATAGGACACAGATATAGATTTACCCTATTCCTTTACAATGAATATGGATTTAACCAAAAAAGAGAGGCAGAGATGGGACGATATTAAAAAAGAGAACTAATACTGATAAAGCCATTTCAGTTAGCAAGGACTAAACCATTAACATTAAAAACTGTCCTTACTTGAAAGAGTCCGAAAGCTGTCCTCGTGTTCTGAGTAGCATATACCATCAAAACACTGATTGGCTGTCAAATCGGCAGATTCTAAAACCCTATAATTGAAAGAATATAATTTCAAATCAAATTGCATAAAACAAAGTCAATATGATCAGTTTAGTTCTATCCTTAGAAACCAAGAAATCACTGAAATTGTATAAAAATTATGTGTGTATGTGTATAACTTCTTCAGTAGAAGGTCTATGGCTACCCCAAAGGTACTCTAAATTTAAAAAACCTGATTCTACAAAAATATGAGTAGGATGATGAAATGTTGCAAACAAAAATAAACTGGGAATTTAATGATGACATTCTGTTAGAAGAATCTCATTCCAGAGTCCAAAAGTGAAAGTGCTCTATATCGGGCAATATAAGAAATAAGTAAAACTGAGACAAGATTATTAAAATAGCTAATTTAATTGGTTTTAAAAGTCATGCTGATTTCAATACGTTAAAATGTAAAAATATTATTTCATTTCAACTTACTGAATGGGGTTTATTTTCTAGAGCTCTTTGAAGATATGCAGATGATTTATTTTTACTTTTGTAGATTACTGGTGAAAAAGTTTCTGTACACAGTGAGCATTAGGGATGTGTCACAAAAAAGAAAACTGCCAATGTAGCAGGACTTAAGATACTATTCACCTTCTGGGCACATCGAAAAGTTTTTAAAATATGATAACTCCAAAACACTTCTGATACCTATTTTATCAGTCACAGGCACTTTAAAGAGATAATATTTTTCATGTCAGGATTACGTATGTTTGGAATTCTAGATATGTATCAAGTCTTCCAAACTCTAGCTAAACTCCAGTTTCAACTGTCTGCTGGTGTACTTGGGAAATGTGCCAAATGGTGGAAGAAAAAAGAGCACAAGCACAGAGTAGACCTAAATGCACAAGTAACTACTGGAAACCTAAGACTACATTCCTAGCTCTGCTATTATTTCGCTATTTGAACCTGCGATTGCTTGATTTGTTTCATTTGGTTCATCTATTTAAACAAATGGATAGTTGGCACAAGTTATGAGGATCGATTACAAAGAACTTACCAGATCCATCCACCCCAGTCCAGTACAACAGTATCTTGGAAGCAGCTTAATTAATACCTTATTTACAATTTCTAAATAGGAATATAACATGCTTACTTTTTCAACTGATCCACATCAGAGTTACTCTCTGGCAAGACTCTGATTCCCCGGCCGTAACTGGTACCGCCATGGAGATGAAACTCTAGAGCTAACAATGTTGCCTGGTTCTCCGAATTCACTGACTGAAGTTTGGTATGGAGGCTATAAATTCTAAGAAAGCTTCCAACCTAAAAATATATTATTTATTATTTAGAAAATGTCAAAAGATCAAACAATTTCTGATATATAAAATACTTAACAAGCAATGTGGGGCATAAGACCAACAATCAGGGGTACTTACTGATCAGAAAGGTCCTGGTGTGTTATACCGGTCTGTGCTAGGTATTAGCCCTAAGGACACTGTATCAAAACCAAAATGTGTTTTTGTGTGTGTGTGCACACATGTGTATACATAGAAAAGTACATGGGTGTGTGTGTGTGTATATATATCCATATATATACACACACACACATAAATATGTATGTTTACATAAATGCATGTATACACATTTACATACAATATCTAAGTACATGTATACATGCATGTATCTCTCTCTATATATATGTATCCATCTGTATGTTTTTTTCCAAATGGAAGACATATTTCCATGTCAAAGATATCAAAGTGTGAAATAAGACTGAGTCTTAGCATTAATAAAATGCAGTAGTTAAGAAACCATTGCTTAAACTCAAACTCAAGCCCTCTACTTGATTTGGAAAACTGTTTGAGGTTACTGAAAATAACTTGTTTTAGCTACTTTAAGGTAAGATTTGGAACGCCTGGGTGGTTCAGTTCGCTAAGCGTCTGCCTTTGGCTCAGGTCATGATCCTTGATCAGGCGGATCAAGCCCCGCCTTGGGAGGGGGTTCCATGGTCAGTGGGGAATCTGCTTCTCCCCTTCCTCTCTGTTCATGTTTACTCATCTCACTCGTGCTCTCTGTCGCTATCTTTGTCTCTCTAATAAATATAAAAAAAAATCTTTAAAAGAAGATTTAATTAAATGATTGCTAAAATAGTCTCATTATGAGAATACTAGAATTTTTTTAAATGTAATATTAAAATATTCCCCTATTCCACAAGTTTTATGGAAAGAAAACTTTTGTGATAAGCACTGTCCCTATACAATTCTGAGTTCAAATACAAGATTAAACCAATTATAATTTTGAGCTAAATATTCTATAATTTTAGATACCTTGCTTAATCTTAAAAATGTCCTTTAAATGTAGAGTATTTGATATTCTTTTAATGTAGAAGACTTAAAATGATAGATATAGAATGTTAATCAAAGAAACTGACACCTACTCAAAGAAAGAAGCTATAGAAACTTTTTCCTCCCAGTACTGTTTTTGTAAGGAGGTGGGATTTAGGTCTTTTTTTCTCTTTTTCCACTGACCCCTACAATATGGCATGGGTGCAGGATAAAAAGAGTCAGAGAAGGAAAACACAGAAAGAAAAAAAGAAAAGATGACAAAACTGATTTTCCTCATGGTATCCAAAGTAAGACACTGGAAGAAAAAACTTCTATTTACTTTTGTCTCACTCTTTCTGGACATTTATCACTCTGTGATTCTTTTAAAATATAGGTAACACACCAGTATAGTATATAAAAAGAACTTAAAGAAGACCTAAACATGTGCTGGTCCATGGCTGGCTTTGTCAGTAGAGCATGTGACCCTTAATCTTGGGGTCATGAGTTCCAATCCCACATTGAGTGAAGAGTTTACTTAAAATAAATAAATAAATAAAACCACCTCCCTCTAGAGAAATGCCCTACTATGTAGATACAAAAAAAAATTTTTAAAGGCCTAAACACATGGAGAAAGATATCATATTCATAAACAAAAAACTTCAACATTATAAAGATAGTAATCTCCCCCCCCCAAATTAATTTTTAAAATCAGTGTAATTTCAATCAAAATCCCCAGGGTCTTTTACGGAATTTGAAAAGCTGATCTGAAAATGTGTATGAACGTGAACAGCAAGTCAAGTCTGAAGACTAAACTGGAAGGGCGAGGGGAAGGTTTGCTTGATCTACAGAATATTATTTATTTATTTATTTAATATTTATTTATTTATTTGTCAGAGAGAGAGAGAGAGAGAGACGGAGCACAAGGAGGCAGAGCGGCAGGCAGAGACAGAGAGAGAAGCAGGCTCCCTGCTGAGCAAGGAGCCCGATGTGAGACTCGAACCCAGGACCCTGGGATCATGACCTGAGTCGAAGTCAGCAGTTTAACCCACTGAGCCACCCAGGTATCCCTACAGAGTATCATTTAAAAATAAAGCTAAAAAATAAAAACAAAGCTATAATAATTAAGACCCTGTGGTATTAATGCAGATACATATATGAACATGGATATATCTTAAAAATATAATTTCAAAGGAAGTAAATTAGAGAATAATACATATATCATATGTATTTTTCAGAGATAAGTACTTAAAGCATAATAAACATGGGTGTACATAACTACGTATTAGGATTAACAGAAGGAAGATACTAGGGAGCAAAAACTAAGAATGAACAGAGGTACAAAGAAGATTCAGTATGTAGAGATTTATGTCCTAAAAATTAAAAGTACCTGAAATTAGTGTAGTAGAACATTTAAAAATGTTAAGTTTAAAAGAAAATGTTAAGTTTAGATGATTGATAGGCACATGGATATTTATTACACTAACTTTTCTACTACTGTCTTTCATAATAAAACAACAAAGACCAAGAAAGAATTTATTTATATAGTCTATCAAGATGACAAACTGTTATTTCCAGAAATTCCTTCTGGAGGCAGCATTGTATTTTTTTTTTTTTTAAGCTTGCTAAATATACTATGAAATATATGCTAAATATACTATGAAATGTGCCAGATGTTCTACTATAATAGACACATATTGCTTAGTCTTGTCAGTAATGGGATAAGATACTAAACATAGAAGTGAGGGAGTCATAACCAAAATTATAAAAATACATTTTCAAAAACTGTGATAAAATCATTTCAGTAAACATCAAAAATAAAGCAAAGCAAATAAGGCTATTAAGAAATTATTATCCCTTTAGAAATAATTTTAATATTCATTACAAACTATCAAGAAATTCCCTCTATATGTCTGAAAATAACCAGTCGAACTATAGCTCTTGGGTCACTGAAGGCCAAAACATAATTATGACTAAGTATTTTTTATAATTATTTTTAAATTATGTCAGGATAGGACTGATGATTGGGACTATAACAATTTAATTTCTAGACAAAAAGTTCAAAATATTTGTGCGTGTGTGTGTGTCTTTCCATGTATATGTGGGTTTATGCATGTGTGCCTGTGTTAACACTTAAAAGCAAAATTGAAGAAAAATGTTAAGAATGATTTCAATTATAAAACATATATAAAAGCCAATTATATTATACTTTAAGATTGTTTTAATTATTCTTTATTAAAAAAAAATTTTTCCTGTTCCTATACAACAAAAATCTGTTCCATGTATTTCAGTATAAAAATGCAATTTCGAACAGCTGTCTTCAAGTACTGATAAGAATTCATTTGTATCAATGTCATCTGACTCAGGATTTCTTAATATCAAATTGTATAAAGTTGTCTTAAATGAAATGGGATGCCAATATACATTAAATAAAAGCCTCCAATTACATTACTTACAGAGAGAAAATCCTTTTCATTTTTCTATTATATTACAGATAAATAATGTAACGTTATGGTATTTTCAGAAAAAGATTAAGTGCCCTATAGTTTCTTAGTAATGTGTGCTCAGAGCACCCTCTAGTGGGTGAGATAAAGCAGACAAAAAGGGGTCTGAAAAAAAATCTGATATAAATTCACACTCATTCACTAGTAGATATTATTTACTTCATCCTTACTATAAGGAAAACACTGTGCTAGGTGCTGTTCAGGACCTGGACAAGGGAATCAGGACAAGCGAGGGAGAACAGAAAGACCTATAAAAGCACAGAGAAAGAGAAGGGAATTAAATTGTGAAAGTAGAATCTAAAAATGTAAATCTTTTTCATTCATAAAGAACTCTATGTGTATTTTCTTTTTTAAGATTGTATTTATTTTACTTGAGACAGAGGGAGCGAGCACACAAGCTGGTGGGAAAGAGAAAGAGGGAAAGGGAGAAGCAGGCACCCCGCAGAGTAGGAAGCAGGATGCAGGGCTTGATTCCAGGAACCCAGGATCATGACCTGACTCCAAGACAGATGCTTCACCTACTGAGACACCCAGGTGCCCCAAAACTCTGTATTTAAAAAAGACTCTGAATTGGTTTTATCATTACATTTGTTTTCAAAACAAAGTAATCAATGTAGAGAAAATTAGGGAAAAGCATCAAAATGCATCTTCAGCGTCATTTTATCTTTATATGTTGGGTATGAAAGCATGTACACACACACATAAAGGACAAGAAAATTCAGTTATCACCTTCCTGGATCCTGACTTTAACCTAATTTATCGATTTGAGTTTATTTGTGTGTGTGAGGAACCATTTCCTTCTTCAAGAACATTTATTTACAAAGGGAAACTGGGCATAAAATTCAGATCTAAAACAACTGCAATTCACTTTTACTGTTTTCTTCCCATAAGTAGGCCATATAACTTTCTATAAGTAGGCTGTATAACTCCCTAAAGGTAGGACAGAATCTCTTTGCAATAAAGTAAGTCATTTCTTTATACTGCTTAAAAGGACTGATCCTGGAAACAAACACTATGTTCAAATACTGGCTTCACCCAAGTAGCCATGAAATCTTGGGCCTAACCTGTGACTGCTCAGTTTTCTCATTTGTAAAATGTGAAAGGTGACAATACCAACTGCACAGGATAGTACTAAATATATATGATGTGCTTAAAAAATATTACTATTATTATTGCTATTATTGATGCCACTTGTTGCTAGAAAAGATACTTGCAAATAAAGGAATTTAAAAAAATAAAATAAATAAAATATTCCCAATATTAATAATCAAGAAGAGCCATATCTGGACAGTTCACTTTTACCTAAAAAATAACTCAAAAGCAGTGAGCAAATTCTAATAAACTGTATAGTATAAACACACACAATTTATGAGGTGGATTTACAATTTCTGAAACTGGGGCACCTGGGTGGGTCAGTGACTTAAGCCTCTGCCTTTGGCTCAGGTCATGACATTAGGATCCTGGGATCCACTCCCCCACCCCCAACACCCACATCAGGCTCTCTGCTCAGCGAGGAGCCTGCTTCCCCCCCCACTTGTGATATCTCTATCAAATAAAATATTAAATCTTAAAAAAAGCTTCTTAAATTAATGAGTACAAAGTTGTAGGCTAGATTTTGAAAAATCAATTAATAAAGCTTACCATTTAAGATTACAAATATTTTATACATCTTCATACAAAAAATTTTTCCTAGAAATTTCCAGGGAATTTCTTTAATTTTACTTTAAAAAGTTGTTAAACCACTATAACTTAATGCATCTTCCAATAATTGAGTTTTTTTCTAATAATTTGTTTTCAATATATTTTACAAATTAAAAATTAAAGAAAAAATAAGTTTGGAGTTAATTTCTAGACCTCAAATATCACCTGCAAATGAGATTTAACCCACATTTATAAAAACAAAAAGAGCAAATACTTGCTACTCAACATCACCTTCAGAGATTTTGCCACTTGAACATGATTATCATAGACTAAAATGTCTACTGTCAGATTCTGCAGCCGATGGATATGACTTAAATCTCCTTCAAGTACAAGGTCTTGTATTAAGACTCTCCAAGATGGGAAAGGGGTCCTGGTGCCATCCCATACCTGCCATAATAGGGTAGAGCAAAGTTTAATGATTATTTTGTGTAACTGTAAAAGATTTTTAAAAGAGTTTTATTTGATGTTAATAATATAAATTAAACGTAAATAAAGGCATTCCCCCAAATACCTGCTGAACTTTAAATATGGTGTATATTCTGGTTGTAAAGGATTGCATAGATATAGGACATGTAGTAAACGTAAAGAGGAAAAAAATTCACACTACTTAGAAAAAAGTACTAACATATTGTTGAATTTATCCTTCTTACCATCTTATATACAAACCCTTATGACTATATCTGCTAATTTTCTTAAGTATAAATCCCTAACTTTTAGAAATGTATTCTAAACTTTGCTCATTTTTTCACTTCGTTCTAATTCAGAAAAGGCCTTTAAAGTACAGATAGAAACATTTGGTTTATGGTAGAGGCTATGAATTCAAATGCCTGAAAATCATGGGTGCTGGAAAAGGAAAAGATATATTGGATTGCTATGTAAACCATGTTGAGACAAAGGGCACGGGATGAGTAAGTATGCACTACATCACCCTCAACATGTCAGCTAGCCTGTGTTATGCTAGGCTTTTAAGACACCACTATGCTTTGTTATAAAAGGGCATGGCAAGAGACATCTGGCATGAGGTAAGAATGCCTCTGTATGTAAGAAATTTGGCTGACACAAGAGAAATAGGCTTACTGAACAGAAAACACTGATTTTTCTACAAGAGAGGTTGTCTGCCAGGGTCAACTTACAGAAGAAGTATTCAATAATGTTGGTGACTGCCAAATTTCAAATAAACAATCGCTGAGTTTGGGTCACTCACTGTTCCCTAGATTATTCAAAAAACCAGAACAAACACTTTGGGAATAGTTACGTTATATGTCCCAAACATTTTTCTCCCCTTGGAAACTGTTCCTTCATTTCATGTATACTGTTTTTGTGACTTCAAAATAGCTTTCTAGACGAAGCTACCAGTCTTTTGGGGGAGGAGCTGAGAGATTAGAGTGTTGCTACTTTATTTTTATGCTTCAGTTTTAATCACTTACAACCTAGTCTTTTTTTTTTCTTTTAAAATAAATTCTGGAACTTTTGTAATTTTGTATCAATACTTAATCTGTTAGGAATTTGTATATTTTATAAACAGATCTGACTCCTTTTTCCAAAAAATAACAATAACCATTCAACAATCTGTCTTCATCAATCTGAAATGACACTTGTTATGTTTATCATGAATATATTATTTGTACAGAGTGGTGTTTTTTTTTTTTTTTACAATTATTTATTTGAGAGAGAAAGAGAAAGAGAAAGAGGGAGCACAAGCAGGGGGAATGGGAGAGGGAGAAGCAGTCTTCCCACTGAGCAGGGAGCCTGATGTGGGCCTCAATCCCAGGACCCTGGAACCATGATCCGAGCTGAAGGTAGACACTTGACTTTTTTTTTTTTTTAAAGACTTTATTTATTTATTCGACAGACAGAGATCACAAGTAGGCAGAGAGAGGAGGAAGCAGGCTCCCCGCTGAGCAGAGAGCCCGATGTGGGGCTCGATCCCAGAACCCTGAGATCATGACCTGAGCTGAAGGCAGAGGCCTTAATCCACTGAGCCACCCAGGCACCTCAACTTAACTTTTTTTTATAGCATGCAATTATTTTTTTAGAGTATTTCACGTGCATATAAATGGGTCACTTTCAACTTTAAAAACTTCATCTTTTATTCAGGGATTTCTATCTTCCCCATTCCTTCAAAAGGGCAAGGTATAAATGATGATAAAGCTAAACCCAATACTCGTGCTTCTGTACTCTCTTATCTTACTGTTTGAGTCAGATAGGAGCAGAACTGAAGCAGTGCTTGTTTAAATGTATTGTGCATAGGATGGATTGACAAGGATTAATATCAGACAACTGACTTTTTCAGAAGCTATTCATGAGTCGGGGAGCCTGGGTGGTTCAGTCATTAAGCCTCTGCTTTGGGCTCAGGTCATGATCCCAGGGTCCTTGGATCAGGCTCCTGGGACTGCGCTCTCTGCATCGGATTCCCTGCTCAGCTGGAAGCCTACTTCTCCCTCTCTCAGTCTCCCTGCTTGTGTTTCCTCTCTCACTGTGTCTGTCAAATAAATAAATAAAATCTTTTTTTTTTTTTTTTTTTTAGAGAAGCTACTCATGAGTAAATTGAAGTAGGTATAAACAAAGATCAGATGGGTCTTACATTACTATTTATTTATTTATTTATCCATTCAAGATTTTGTTTATTTATTTGACAGAGACAGAGAGATCGGGAACACAAGCAGGGGGAGTGGGAGAAGGAGAAGCAGGTTTCCCGCTGAGCAGGGAGCCTGATGCAGGGCTCAATCCCAGGACTCTGGGATCATGACCTGAGTCCAAAGGCAGACGCTTAACAGACTGAGCCACCCAGGTGCCCCTTACATTACTTTTTAAAAATCATGCTGATATGTATTGCATGGAGTACTGGGTGTGGTGCAAAAACAATGAATACTGTTATGCTGAAAAGAAATTAAAAAAAAAATCATGCTGATTTAAAAACAAAACAGAACAAGAACAAAAATAAACACTTCAAAACTATCTGTGATCTACGCAATGAAACAGGCAGTGAAATGACATGGGAAAAGAACCCAACATGAATTAGCCAAGAAAGTAAATAGGAAGGCTACCCTGACAGGGAAGCAGAAATACGAGTATGTAGAATTGCAACTAAAATATAACATAAAAAACAACTTTATATTTTATTAATACTAAAATAAGAAATAAATAAAGCATAAACTATATTTAAACTATTGAGAATGCTATTTTTCTCTGAAAGTATAAGTTCAAGAGTAGAGTTGCATGAATATCAAGGCTCATCAAAAATGGTAAGTTAGACTTAAAATTGTTAATACGTAGTATGCACATTTATCCCACCAGAATGAAATATAAGCTCTGTTTAGATATGTAGGTGGTGCTAATTTATAATTTCAAGTATTTAAAATATCTACCTTTAAAAGAAATGATGCTCCATCCACTTCTGCTTTGCCCAAGAGCTGACAAGTCAGGTCAAAATACTGCAGTGGTTGAACATCACACAATTTTACCAATGTCGAAGAAGGTGAAATATGAGTTGATGCCCAAACACGTAAAGCTTCTACCATTTTGTGGTCCTCGGCAGTGAAGTTAAAATACTTGCTTGAAGTACGAGGTATGATAGGAGCTCCCAAAGTTCCCTCAAATGTCAAAGACGCAAAGCCAGAGCTGGTGATACCCTGAGTCTCCTTTTTATACACTTGGATCTAACGAAGTTGGGCAAAGCAGAAAACAAAACAGCTTACTGACGCACAACCCCCAAACTCAAGAAATTTGAAAGATTATAAAGTCTTGCCAGGATAGTTAATAGAAGATATGCTTATTTAATATATTTTACTTAATTAGCACACAAAATTATAAAAGTCAACTGGGCTGTATCAAGATCCACAAGCACCATGTAAACTTAGAACACTATGTAGTATTTATTTCTATTTTTTAAAGGTCTAGGTAGTCGACTCCCTGATCCTACCAGGCTTGCACTTTTACACTTATTACTTTTCTTACTAACGTGTAATTTACAAAGGGAAAAATAAGTAAGTGACAATTATTTATGACCATTACAAGGAAAATCAGAATGCTTAAATACAAGACTTCAAAGTGAATAAAATGCAGGGAGGCGAAGGTGTCACCAGTCTGCCTGAGGGCCAAGATAAGCCAAAGATTGGCTTTCGAATTCTGAGGCCTGGCTGGGAGATGCAGGTGCATTTAGCATGGTTACATCTTCTTCATTAAGCAATCTTTTTATCCTTATGAAATTCCCCTCCCTTTTAATCTCCCTCAATACTCCATCTGATATTAATATAGTGCTTTCATTTTCCTTATGCTTATTGTTTGCTTGGTGTATCTTTTCTATAGTTTTACTTATAACTTGTTTGTGAAGTCTTCATTTCTTGTAGGAAGTTGGTATTTTTTCTTTTTTTATTCAGTTGAGTGTTTAGGCCATTTACATAAAATTATTGATATGATTATATTTAAGTCTATCTTATTTGTTTTCCTTTTGTGTCCTTTTTGCCTTTTTTTTTTTTAAGATTTTATTTATTTATTTGACAGACAGAGATCACAAGTAGGCAGAGAAGCAGGTAGAGAGAGATAGAAGGAAACAGACTCTCTGCTGAGCAGAGAGCCCGATGCGGGGCTCGATCCCAGGACCTGGGATCATGACCTGAGCCGAAGGCAGAGGCTTTAACCCACTGAGCCACCCAGGCGCCCCCCCTTTTTGCCTTTTAAAAACTGTTTTCCTATTGTTCCTTTCCTGTCTAATATTGAATTTACTAGTATTGTTTACCTCCTCTGAGCTATGAAAGAATCCTTATCTCAAAGTTTATTTGGAATCAATACAGTTCCACTGTATCATCCCTCCTTTCCATGTCATATTCCCCACTTGCCCATATCCCATTTTACACTTAAAGTGTAATAACCTTTGAAGGTATGTACTAACCTTTCGGTGGTTAATTCCACTTAACCACCCTAACCATTCTTTGTGCTATCGTTCATATTCTTCTACATATTTTATAAACTCCATGTTTACTAATGTTACCATTTTTCTTTTAAACAGTAATTTACCTTTTAATGAAATTATGGGAAGAAAAACTAAACAGTGTCTTTTATCATTTCCTTTGTTTTTAGTTATTTCCTAACCATCAAGTTTCTGGCTGGTAGCATTCTTTTTTGTCCTGAACACCATCCTTTAGCATTTAATAGTAGTAAAGATATGCTGACCGTGGATTCTCTCATTTTTGAAAAATATTTTCTCTGGATACAAAATTCCAGGTGAATCAATTTTCTATCACCACTTTAAATTTATCATTGCTTTGTTCCTCAAGTGCCATTAATTCTGATAAGAAATCAAAGACGGCTAGTATTACAGTTTCCTATATGGAATGTGTTATTTCTCTGCCAGCTCATTTCAAGTTCTTTTTTCAAATCTTTTTCAATGGTTTCACAGTGATTTGTTTAGGCATGCTTTGCTTTGTGGTGCCATGCACGGAGTGCACTGAGTTTCTAAAATCTGTAAGTCAATGTTTTCATCACATTTAGAAAAATTCTGGTTATTTCTATGTATTCCTATAAATATTTCTGCTTCCCATTCACATAGTTTTCTTGTGCATCTCAAATGATGTTTCACAATTTGATATCATTGCATAGGTCCCCAGGGTTCTATCAATCTCTTATTTATCCTTATTCTTCAGATTAGATAAATTCTATTGATCTATGTTCAAGTAAACATGATACAGCTAATCTATTAAGCCTATCCAGTAAATTTTTCATTAATAATAAAAATATTAATATATATATTCACTAAAGGATATGTATTAGACTGTTTATAGCAGCATAATATCCTCAAACCGAATGTCCCACAGAATATATAAATTCTGATGCATTTGCACACTTAACAATGAAAATGAACAAAGTGAAACTATATGCAGTAATATGGTTGACTCACACAAGTATTAGCCAGACATTAAAAAACCAAAACCTACAGTCTATTCTCTTTAAAATAAATAGAACTGAGAGATGTATATCCTACTTCAGTTAAACAACAGCAAGAATAACAACTAAAAACATGAGGAGGGAAGAGTGCACTGTCTGAAACAATAGTATGTGAGAAATAAGTTATTTTTTGAAGTTGGGATAAATTTGCTATGATGATAATATTTCTATTTCCTTTTTAACTTTACAAAAATATTCTCTACTATTCATCTATTCTCAGGGAAAGGCATTAGAGATAAAGAAGGTAATTCCCACCAAAACTAAGAGAGAACACACCAGAATATTGTGCTCATTGAGGGGCATTGCACTGACCATGAGGGACACAGATAAACTAAAGTATTAGAAGAAAAAAGACAACCAAGATAACGAAAGAGCTTTATGGAAACCCATATAACAAGAGGAAAAGATGAAGGGATTGAAATGCTTAAACCCTAAGGGATTTAAAATATTAAAATATTTAATTTTTTTTAAAATCACAATCTATTTAATAGCTTAACCTTCATATTAAAGGTTTCCTTACATTCAGTTGATAGCAAAATTTTAGAAGTACCAACATATCTGTTCATGTTTTAACACACTTTTCATAAATGAAGTTCAACTTACTTTGATTTTATACTTAATGTCTCAATGCTTTTCACTGTACTTGAATTAATACAACAAACAGAAAAATAATACAACCTCTCAATCATTGTATAATTATTTTATAAAAAAGTAAAAAAAAAAAAAAAAAGCCCTGTTGGCTTAGGGGGTTTTTTTGTTTTTTTAACCAGCTCTACATGGAAACCTTTAGACTATCAATCTACATTCAGAAGTGAGAAGACAGGCTGCAACGAGGCTAAATCATGGCATCTAATGCACTTCTTGTGGAGGGAGGGCAGGCAGTTTGTCCAAATGAAGAGGTTTATGAATATTAATATTTGATGTCTAATATTATTTGTATTTGTTCTTGTCTCTTGAAATGCTTACTGCCATGTTCTACCACAGCAACTACATAATTAGGGCTAACTAGAAAAATACACAGTTCTCTTCAAACAGATATGAGTTCTGGACAGTACGAACTATACCTTCAACCTATGAAAGCGAACAATATCTCCATTTTTATAAATTATTGGAAGGGCTTCATAATTTCCACTAAAGAGCAGGCAGGTTAACTTTACATTTGTCTGGTCCACAATTGTTACAACTGAGCAATAATCTGGAAAACACAAAAGTATTTTACATTTTAGAACTTCAAAGCTTTTGACAAAGTAAGAATATGGTTGAATTCAAACCACTAAACAAACTCTTATCCCTCCTTTTAATTAAACCTTCTGAGAACAGGATCAAAATACAGAGACAGTTTCTTGGCTCTCAAAATGCACTGCCAAATTATTCTGCAAGAGTGTTCCACAAAAATTAATTTTAGAAAGTTTAGTAAAATAAAACTAAAATTCTTAATTAGTATAAATTGTCGGGAGGGGTAGTAACTTTTTTATTACTTCAAAGTTTAGAAATCATGAAGCAGATAAACATGTTCAATTAAAATATAATTTTTAAAATAAATGTAATTAAAATTAGGGTGAAAACAAAGACTAGAAGATATTTGAAGCAAATGTGATGAAGATCAGTATACTGCATAAAGAATCTATGAAAACTGCTTATAAAGCCCAGGACTTCACTGTGACTACGAAATTCAAAGGAACAAACAATTCATAGAAAATTACAACAACACCTCAAAAAAAATAAGGATTTGCTAGTTTCTTGCAGAAGATTACACGTTAGAACAAGAAACATATACACTTTAGCTGGCAAAATAAATTAATAGTTGGGATGTTATGAAAATGAAAATTTCAAATACTGGTGGTAGTAAAAACTGTAACAGATGTTGCCTTTTGATATGCATGTTTCAGAAAGTTGCACACTGAGAAAATGTGTTGCCTTCTAGTCCTATCTAGTACCATAGTAATTACAATATCAATATTTGAAGAGCATAAACCCAGAACAGTGAAGGAAGAGAGAAGGGAGTGAAGGAACAGGGGAGAAGATAGCACTATGTTTCAGGAAGATGGGAAAGCAAAGGGTTAGGGATAAAAAGTAGAGGGGAGACAATCCAGAACATAGCAGAAAGTGGCTACAGTGAAGATGGGAGTCATTGGGATTAAGGGTGGAAGTGAAAAGCAGAGCCAAAATCAAGGTTAATTAAAAGCTGACACACACAACAACTGTTTCAATAACCACGCATCCTGACCTCTACTGCCCAGGAAAATGATTTCAGGTTGGGAGGCAGAATATTTAAACCGACCACATCCAGGAACACAAGCTGTTTTTCAAGGACATTTCACTGATTAACCAGGAAGTACTAAGGCTTCCGGTGTGGGGGTTACCACCCAGAATAAGTCCCTCTGCATTACCACCTTAGGGAGCCTAAAGCCAGACACGCAGCTCTCTGCCCACCCACTCCACAGTGACATTATCAATCAAGGCACCTTATTAAAATTCTACTTGTCTCGGATTTCCCATTCAAGGAGGAGATAAATAGGAAAAACAATCTTGAGAAAGCACAAAGCTGGAGGTACCACAATCTCAGACTTCAAGATGTACTACAAAGCTGCAATAATCCAAAAAGTATGGAAAAACAAAGTACTTACATACAAAGCAAACAAGATGAGTGTCTATAACCTAGAACAAACCATACCTACATTTTAAAATATGAAGACAGTAAACAATTACCAGACATAGAGCAAAAAATGGAAGGAAGGAAGGGAAGGAAGGAAGGAAGGACAACGCAGAGTGGAGGGGAGAGAAAAAAATGGAGCGGAAGAGAGCAGGAATGGAGGGACAGGGAAAAAGGAACGAGAGGGGAAAAGGAAGAAGAAAGGGGAGGAAAGAGAGAAGGAAGATGGGAGGAAAAGAAATTTGCTTCTTTGAGAAAGGGGAAATAATTTAGAGAACATTAAAAAAACTTAAAATCAAAATCTTGGTAAGCATCTTCAAAGAGTAAATAATATTACATCTCATTTCTTAATACATCAGCAGGATCCACTGAAACCAAATTTATATTCTGAGTTTGCTTTTTCAGTAGCTCTATTTGTGAGGAGTATTGTTTCAAGACATTTTTCTCGTAGCAGTCTTACCAAAAAATCAAAGATCAATTTTTTTATTTTTAACAGAATGACACATTCTTTTTTTGCAAGTATCATATGGCTCTACTGTACCCTTCTATAAATCCAAGTTGCATTATGGCATCTTGATCATCTCTATTCCCGTATCTTGTTTTTGTTTCCAAAAAATGACTTGGTGGACGGCAAAAGACACCGTGGGAAACTGAGAATAGGTCCACTATCTACAGAGTCTTTATAAGGCAACCACTAGCTTTTGCACTGCTTTCCTGCAAATGAGAAAAAGCCTTTCCTTCTTTAAATAGAAATACTGCACAACCCAAAAAGCTTTCCAGAGGTTGTTTACTGAGCCCAAGAGAGTAGAAGTCTTGGCTGCACCCACACATGCATCTACATCTGGCCTTTTCTTAAAAACCATCAGAAAGAGGGACACAAATGCCACTTGCAATGTACACATTGCTTCTCTAGACCCTTCCCTCTCCCCATTCCCCCAGTATCTGTGTCAGGTTCAGAGTTAGGGTGGTTAGGATCTGTGTCAGGTTCAGAGTTGGGGTGGGAATGGACTGTGGAGAGACAAAAGCAACCTCAGGGGATGCCCAGAGAGCATCACAACAGGTATGTGTGTGCCAAATGGGTTAAGGGAATGCTCAGAATTCTGAGTGGGTAAACGGGCTGGCTCCATGTGAAAGAGGGCACTCTCCAGCTGCATCAGGACTCGAGTGACAAGCCTAAAATCGCCACACTTGCATGTTTTCATATAAGTGACTATGTGGATGAAAGTGGCATCTCCTTACATGGAGCATATTTGTACACCATTCATCTGAGCTATCACATGCTAAGTCCCTGTTCCTTACTCTTTTTCTCTTGGCTTATACATTTTTTTGAAAGTATCATCCATGACTTTTATCAAGTTTATGATTTCAAATTCTTTAATATGATTTTTATTAACAAAGAAAGAAGGAAACAAAAATTCAGATTCAAGAAAACAAGTGGCATTCAGAAAAATCTGTCCAGAGGTGCCTGGGTTTGTCCAACTCTTGATTTTAGCTCAGACTGCGATCTTGGGGTCCTGAGATTGAGCCCCAGGTCAGGATCCGTGCTTAGCAGGGAGTATGCTTAGGATACTCTCCCTCTCCCTCTGTGCCCACCCCTCCCCCCACAGATGCAGGCTCTCTCTGAAATAAATAAAATGTTAAAAAAAAAAATCTGTCCAATAACTAGCTCTCAATAACAAAACAAGTAACAATCTAAATGAAATAGTAAATAGCTTTCAGGTTCTTTCAATTAGCATGATTCATGAGTAGAAACCAAGCTACCCATTTTAACAAATACTAACAAGGCAAACTGCTAAATGTTTTATTTTACTGCTTCAAGGAAGTGAAGTGTCTTACCAAATAAATAATCCATCAAAAAAGGCTACATAAACTAATAAAAATAATTTCTTTCTCAATACCTCATTTTAACTTATTCCCAAATGTAGGAAAAATAACTTGTGAAATTACAAAGAACTTACAACTTTTTTTTCATTTTAACAATGAAGTTACAAAACTAAAAGACAATAGTCCATTTTGATAGTTAACACCAGCAGGAAAGTTAGGAAGAGTAGAAAGAGCTTCCATAAATCAGTATTCTTACCTTACCTACCTAAATAGTACATTTAGGTGCTGATGTAATATAAAAATAAATATAAATTACTTAAAATACATTTTAGGATATTAAAATATATATTTAAACTTGATAAAGACTTGACTTTAATGCTTTAGTAAGACTTCATATGTAAACTGCTGACAAAGTATTTAACTTTTAACTTCATGTAACCTGATTAAATCTGGAAAAGATAACAAATGATAAATTAAGTCCTATATTCTACAATCTTGAGTAATTCACCTAATTTCATCAGCATGATTAAGTGTAAATTACCTTGGAGTTTTATAAGGGAAAGCTGGTAATTCATCCAATCAAAGAAGCACGGATGCACGTACAAATTATACAATCCACAAGAAAATTCCCCCATGAAAGTTGTTTTACCTCCTTTTTATCTTACTATAGCACTGTTTATAAACCAATCAGTATTTCAGTAAGTTTCCATTTATATAAAAGTTTATTACTGAAACACCCAAGTAAAAGTTATGAAAGCAAATCACTGAATCAAGACAATATTATATACTACAATCTTATAATTTCACAGGGAAATTTTATATAGTATCACTTGCTTTATTTTTTATTTTTTAAGATTTTATTTATTTGAGAGAGAGGAGAGAATGAGACAGAGTGAGCATGAGAGGGGGAAGGTCAGAGGGAGAAGCAGATTCCCCACTTAGCAGGGAGCCCCATGTGGGACTCGATCCCGGGACTCCAGGATCATGACCTGAGCTGAAGGCAGTCACTCAACCAGCTGAGCCACCCAGGCACCCAGCACTGGCTTTATTATGTTGGTGTGAAATTACATAAATATCCCCTCATGTTTTGATTATACTGAAAAAGGTAATGGAAGGAAGGAAAGAGAAGCATAAATATTATGCTAGAAATATACATACCAACATTGAAAAGAGAGCTACCCTATGACCCAGCAATTGCACTACTAGGTATTTACCCTAAAGATACAAACATAGTGATCCGAAGGGGCATGTGTACCCGAATGTTTATAGCAGCAATGTCCACAAGAGCCAAACTATGGAAAGAACCTAATGTCCATCAACAGATGAATGGATAAAGAAGATGTGGTATATATATATACAATGGAATACTATGCAGCCATCAAAAGAAATGAAATCTCACCATTTGCAATGATGTGGATGAACTAGAGGGTATTACGCTAGGTGAAATAAGTCAATCAGAGAAAGACAACTATCATATGATCTCCCTGATGTGAGGAAGTGGAGATGCAATGTGGGGGACCTGGGGGTAGGAAAAGAATAAATGAAACAAGTTGGGATTGGGAGGGAGACAAACCATAAGAGACTCTTAATCTCGCAGAACAAACTGAGGGTTGCTGGGGGTCAGGGGGTCGGGAGAGGGTGGTGGGGTTATGGACACTGGGGTGGGTGTGTGCTGTGGTGAGTGCTGTGAAGTGTGTAAACCTGGCGATTCACAGACC